CTATAATTCTTCCTTTAAAGGAAAGCTGTTACCTCATAGGTGTTGCCGTACTAATTTGGTTTAAATCCGATCATTGGATCATGAAGAAATCAACGATTATCTTAAATTTGTATATGAGAATTGAAGTCGTATTTGTTTTTTTGCTTCAAAATAACTTTTTTACTTAAATCTACCTCTTTTTATTTTTGGCTCTGTCACATGAAAACAAATAAATTGGTGAGGGCACGCCGGTTGCAGACGCACTTGACCAAAATAAGTCCGAACGTGCTCGTTGAATTGCGCGACAGCCTTCAAGTAAAACTAAAGGTTTTCCACGTTGCGATCCAATTTTTTTCTCAACAGGATATTTTAGAGAGTAAAATTTTGCATATGTGGCTTTTTTTCTGTGTGAAAAAGTGTTGGAGAATACTATTATTTTTGTATTTTTACCAAAAATTGTATAAACATTTACCCTTAAAAGTAATTTTTAAGTAAGTAAAACCTATGCTCTTGAAGAGTTTTTAATAGCAATGAAAATTACTGTTGAATTGTCAAAATCGGTCAATTAGATCGTCTGTAATTGAATTTTTAAGTAAAAAGGACAAAAAAAAAAACACTTATCGATATATAAGAAAACAAATTTTTTTTGTAAAATCAAAGTTAGACATTTGTTTGCATTGTCAATAGCTGTGAAAAAATACCATTGCTGATTGGAAATAAAATATCACATAATTGAAGTGGCCCATTTCAGAAATTCTTACTCCCATACAAAGTATGTTCGACAATTTTCTTTTATTTACATAGAGGACACTGCCAGCAAAAAAAAATCCAAAAAAATTCCAGAATTTGTATCCTTTTTGTACAAATATTGAAATCTGAGTTTAGTTGGTGTTTTTTGTATAACCATCTACACTTTTATACAATAATATCAAACACAAACAAAAATATCAAAAACTGATCAAAATATTGCACTCCGTATAACCATATAATTGTGTAAACTTAAATTAACTGTCAAAATTTGTATGGAAACTCGTCTATACATTTCTGATACATTTTTCCAACGTATTCACTCAACAATCTTAATAACCTAAAGCCAAGGCAACTCTGTCGCAAGTGAAACGAAAAGAGAGTATGGGGTGTTCATGTAACGTAAATAGCTCTTAAATTTATAAGAATATCTGCTTGATAAAGTTTTCGCTTTAGATGAATACCACTAATATTTGCTTAATTATTAGCACGGAATTTGAAATGTAGGAAAGTACCTTTTACACATTTTAACTCATGATAGTTAAAATTTCAAATTACGTTTGGCTTTACTGCGAGAAAAATTTTAAACATCATTAAGCGGAACCTGCAAGAACGTGAATATGTAAACTAGGTCGCACGGAATGTAAAACTTGATTTTCGCGATGTAGAGGGTTGTGAAATTACCGGCATCTTGAAAAAACATGTGATCAAATTTTTTTTTAACTTAGATATGAGACCATTTTTGGGCTTAACCAAACTACGCCTACCCCCAAAACCCCTACCTGAGTTCGCCCCTGTGCAGAAGCATGGACAATGATAGCATCCGATGAGGCGGCTCTTGGAGTATTCGATAGAAAGATTTTGCGGAAGATTTACGGGTCTTTACCGCAGAAGATGGAATGATGAACTGTATGAGCTTTACAGCGTAGACATATACTACGTTTATACGCACAGAATAATCGACTTAATTGAAAGCGCATTGACACCGTACACATTTCGCTCTAGTGTTTATACTTACGGCTTTATATCGGCATCAAAGTAACCGTCTTCAAAAGCAAACAAAATAAGCTGTTTTCATTTGACATTTTATAAGTTAACATAATGGAAAGTGATAAAAATCTAGTTTTATTCGGCATTATAAAATCGTGGCAAAGAAAAAGAACGATTATTAAAAATCAGCTTTTAAATACTGATGCGATTATTTGGAATTTGAGCGCAAAAGCTCATCTCCAATTATATTACTACGTTTATACGCATGCATAAGCCGCTTTTATTCATTTCGCCGCGATTCAAAACATATGTATAAACTGAATTTCAATTCGCTTTGAAAGAGCGAAGTGTTTTGGCTCACACTCCATTTCAAATCGGTAGTTTATTTCTCCAGACAGTTAGAAAGAGTGTATAAACACCGCTCTCACTCAAAGCGAATTGGAGATCAGCTGTTCCGCTCAAATTCCAAATAATCGCATCAGTATTTAAAAGCTGATTAATAATAATCGTTCTTTTTCTTTGCCACGATTTTATAATGCCGAATAAAACTAGATTTTTATCACTTTCCATTATGTTAACTTATAAAATGTCAAATGAAAACAGCTTATTTTGTTTGCTTTTGAAGACGGTTACTTTGATGCCGATATAAAGCCGTAAGTATAAACACTAGAGCGAAATGTGTACGGTGTTAATGCGCTTTCAATTAAGTCTATTAATCTGTGCGTATAAACGTAGTAATAGTCAAGCGAATTAAAATACAGCGGCTCCGCTGGCTTGGCCATGCCGTTCGAATGAACTCCGACGCTCCAGCTCTGAAAATATTCAAATCGGATGATAGCAGAGAAGAAGAAGAACTTCCTCCTTAGACCTAAAAAGTCCATATTTCAGATTTCATATTTTACTGTTCAAAATATTATATTCTACGTCTATATCTTTCTACATAAGGGTAAAGCTTCCTCAAGTGGGCACCGAATTTACCAACATTAATATTTTTCAATGACATTCAGGCAGCGCCGAGGTTTGTAATAGAAAAGTACACTGTGTAATTTTTGTTGCAAAATTCCGATTAGTTTTTTTTTAATCAACGATTGAAAATTTTTGCAGTGTTTTGGAAATTTTTATTGTTCTTTGCAAGTGTCCGAATAAAAAAAAAATTTGGGTGCAGATTTAAGAAACATTAAACTATACAGTGAAATTATTTGCGTCACAAAAATATATTTTTTTTGCTTTTCAATATTTTTTTTTATGAAAAATTTAACTTTTAAGCAATTAAATTTCTGCGCCTCGTGGATGAAAATTTTTAACAACAACTTATGTAATAAACATTTCTGCATTTATCTATGGAAAAATGCGTGCAATTCGATATAGTTTGGTCGGAATGATTTTTTAATTGTCAGAGTGTGGCCCGACTACCGCGGGCATGCAAAATTCGAGCATGAGAAATAAAAGTGGAACGATTGAAACGTGCGTTTCTTTCTTGCGCATGAAGTCAACATGGACTGCGCGCAATCCAGCCACGCGAGTCGGGCCCGCACGCTGGCAAATAAAAATTCATTCCGACCGAACTATTTGGAAATGCACGCATTTATTTTCATAGATAAATGCAGAAATGTTTATTTCATAAGTTGTTGTTAAAAATTTTCGTGCATGAGGCGCAGAAATTGCTTAAAAGTTCAATTTTTCATAGAAAATGATTGAAAAGCAAAAAAAAATATTTTTGTAACTCAAATAATTTCATTGTATAGTCTAATGTTTCTTAAATCCGCACCCAAAAAATTTTTTCATTCGGACACTTACTTTCAAATAAAAATAAAAATTTCCAAAGCACTGCAAAAATTTTCTATCGTTGATTAAAAAAAAACTATTTGGAATATTGCAACAAAAATTGCACAGTGTACTGTTCTACTACAAACCTCGGCGCTGCCTGAACATAGTTAAAAACTATTAATGTTGGTAAATTCGGTGCCCATTTGAGGAAGCCTTACCCATAAGCTTAAAAAATGCCAAAAATCAGTTTTTTGATACTTTAAATGCCCAAAAACTCAAAGACTAGAGCCAATTGAATAATCTGATTCCTTGGTAAAAATCAAATAAAAACCAGCGATTACTGGTTGTGCCGCATGCTGTTGTAAGAATTTTTCTGGGTTGTTATTAGGTGCAAATCTGGTCTTTAATCTTTTAAAAATGGGGTAATGGTGTTTAACGATATTTTTTCTTCAAATGGATAAATAACTCAAAACATGCTTATGCGGATGAAAAAAGGTATTCCGGAGGGTAATTCGATTTCGTCATGTCTTTTCAAAACATAGGGACGCATAGGATTTTTTCATGACATTTTTGACCAGTCTTGTCAGATTTAGAAAAAATACATGGTTGCCTCTTAAAAAGAGCTCTTCTTAAACAGTCGACAAAAGTATACCAAACTATGCTTTTCATGTGATTTCAAAGGCATATTCGTTTTCATAGGTAATAAATTCCCAGGGTGGTGGTAAATATATAAGCTTCCAGAATTTCATCAATTGCCAATTCTTCAATTTTTCTAATAATTCACAAGAAATATCTAACCAATCTGAAAAAACGAAGGGTTTATTCAGAGTGCTCAATATACCCAAGAAATATGAGTGCCGTTCTTGTCTCTTTTTAAAAATTATTTTTTGTAGACCTATGTTAGGCATTTGAATATTGACCCTATTGACTTTTCACACCGTCTGAAAAGCCTTTTGTTCGCACGTTAGTCTTTTCAGACGATAAACCCGATTTCGAGCTATGAACACATTGATTCTGGTGGTAGTAAAATACATAGAAGAGTTTTCAATGTGTTCGTATCATACCGAAGTCAAAACGGAAATTTGTAGGTCTGAAATTGCTGAAATTCTACTCCCTTCATGCTCCCGTCTATAAAAAACCGAAACACTGGTGTGTGCAGACTCACCAACTTAATAAAATTTAACCAGTATATCTGGAATTCTGACTTCTCCCTTTATCAGAAATTATAACTTGTCGCGTTTTGATAAAAAGTATATAACGGGATATGAAAGAATACACCCAGTCGAAGTCTGGAATATTTTTTCATCTCCGCTTTCCCAAAATCCTGCTTACGCCACTGCTTCGATATGTATGTTACTATGCGAAAATATAAATAATAAATGCATACATACATAGTTCATGCACGACGTACTGTACATAGAAAATGATAGTAAGAATAAGAAAAAGCGTAAACATGTGTCGATGGCTCCTAGTAAAAGTCTGTTAGCTTTACCATCAAGGCTTTCGTTAGTTATTACCTCAATATGTTCACATACGCAAATGCCCTCCTCGCAGTAAGCACATATTTGCAATTTGCGCCCATTCGCTAGTCCCTTATAACAAAGATGCGACTCGTTGCTGAGGAGTGGTTCATACTGTTGTTGTTGATTAAACTGCAGATCCTTCAGCTGCCGTCTAACGCTGCTGCTCATACTGCCAACAGCGCTCGCGTTCTCATATCGGTGGGGTTCATTTCGTCGCATGCGATATACGCTGCACTTTCGTTCTAATGGAACGATTGACGGATCAGTAACATGATTATCATTTTCAATAGCTTCAGTCTGAGTGGTACAGGTTTCCATAAAAGTATCCGTTAGTTTTTCCTCCTGCTGTTGTAGTGGTTTGCCTACATGCCCTGGCGAGGCCATCGGCGTGGCCGGTGTCACAATAATTGCATCATGGTGGGATAAATAAATGAAAGATTGATCGGCAGATGACGTCCCAACTTTTGTAGTGGTGGTAGTTGTACCTTCGGCCGCACCACATGGTGTCGTCGGCGGCGTAGCTCCTATTTGTGAGACGAGTGGTAAGGTCGCTGTGGCGGACTTAGGAAGCTTAGATTGATGAAAGCTACTAGCACCACTGCCTGAGTGTCGATGAACTATGTTACGGGAAGTGCCTTCGTAGCAGTGATGCTGCTGATGCGCGGACTGATTTTGTGGATAGGGATGTAGTTGAATAGGATGCGCATGACTATGAGAATGGTGCATTTGAGAATGCACATATTGTACGCGCATCTGCAACACTGACTGATTATCACTTTCATCAATAGGCAGTAAAAGTTTTGATTGTGCCGTGTAACTGGCGCTTAATTTCCTTGTTTGTGTCTGTGGTGTGCGCAGATAGTTGATCGGCAGCTGGTGGAACTGACGTGACTGGGTGCGAGTTGGAGTTGATGCGCCATGTTCGCTAATCGATAACGCAGATAATTTTGGTGGATGGAGTTTTGCTTGTAATTGTTGGTTTCGTTTTTGTTGACGTTGTCGTTGACGTGCTTGACGTGACGCCAGCGATGCCCCTCCTGCTGCTGCATACATTTTATATAATTTGTGTGTTCCTCAGTCACAATTTTATTTAACTAATATTTTAAACCAGTTCATTCCATTTATTGATCGCGGGTTAAGTTATGTAACTGAGCTATGGCGTTTAAGAGAGATTCAATTAGCAATGATTAAGTTAAAAGATAAGGTCTGTTTTTGCACATATAGTACCATATGGCATGACAAAAAAGCTTAGAGGTGACCGCATTATATTTTGCGAAAAACAAAACGCTCTTCTAAACTGGCAAGTCGTAAATGCTCGCCGTAGCAACATTATAATACGCCAAGACAATTGAAAATCGAAAATTAAATGTCAGCGCAAAGTTTAAGTGAAAATTTTTTTACAAGCGCTGTTAACATAAATGAAAATGTTTGTAAAGGAGGTGTCATGACTCTAACAGCACACAGCAAGCCTAACCAATATCATGGCTGCGTTTCTTTATACATTCCGGATAATCCCATTTTACAGCCGGAATAAACAGAATGCATTTGAAGTATACGTCAACGTATCATCAAGAACATTCTAAAGAATAAATAAACAAAAATGTTTATTTCAAACGTTCAGAATGAATAAAGAAATGCAGTCCATATAAAAATATCCGGTCGCTTGAAATTACTTATGCAGCCAATTACAGAAAATCAAATGGCTCAAAAGTACGGTTGCCAGACGTACTGATTTTATCAGTAAAGTACTGATTTTTCAACTCTCGTACTAATTTTATTCATGTCCTAATTTTGTAAATTGGTACTGATTTGTACTTAATTTTGAATTCTCAGCATAAAAATTTGTAATCGTGGTTTTCCCTCCAAACTTTGTACTCGGTAACTCATTGTTCGATCATTTTTACCCATGTATTTTGTTTGTGCAATATTATTTTACGCAAAGAAAATACTTAGGATTTTTTAAGGTTTTTAATGTTGGAACTTCCTCAAACTGTACTGTAAAAAGTTAGAAGAAATTAATTTAATTATAGTTGGCATGTTTCAGATAAAAAAGGGCAACACTGATTTTGGTGAGGAAAATGTTAAAACTGTTTTTGATAAAATTTTCTGTGCTTATTGCGAATCCGTAAGTATCATCAGGTCCAGATTTTGAGAAAAAAGAGGTCGAAATGCCAAAAAATCTGGTGTTTTTCAGTATTTGAGAAGCTCTAGGAAAGAAAGGAATGGTACCTTCCGTTTAGTCTTAAATTAAACTAGAAATCTCGACTACAGGCCAACAAAAATTAAACACAGGCTTAAATTAAGCTAGAATTCTCAGCTACTATCCCTGAAAATACCATCGCTGCACCTTGACCTGATTGTCACTTATAGTCTTTTATTTAACAATAAAAAAGTACTGGAAAATTGTGCTATTAGAAAAAAAAATGTGTTAAAATCAGTTTTTGCTGCTCAGTAAATGACTATGAGTTACCTTAGGGTTAACATGCATGGATGGTACTTTTAGGGATTGTAGTCGAAAGTTCAAGCCTTAATTTAAGCCTAAGAGGAATTTATATCACCTTTTGTTTAACTGCGGTAGGTACTCAAAATTCCCCAAAATCAGTTTTTGCTATTCAACAAATGACTATAAGTGACCCTCAAGTCAAGGTGCAGGAATGGTATTTTCAGGGATAGTAGCCGAGAGTTCTAGCTTTAATTTAAGCCTGTGTTTCATTTTGTTGTGTAATTTTTGATTTGCGCAAGAAATTAATTCAACAAAAAAAAAAAACGTTTTATTGGTATATCGCCGAGTCGTTACGTACCAGTTGATGAAGTATAATTTATTTAAAAGGAGGGCTGACGTGTTTTTAGTTATCTGGAAAATAACTTTCAGTTTAATAAAAACAAATCTGAATAATTTAATGGCTTTTTCCTACAACTTACAATTATTTTTTCCCAATTTGATGAAATTGTAATATAGTTTTGCATGCATCACATCTCGATAACTTAGATACTCTTTTTAGCGAACTCATAGCATTTTAAATTTTTTGGGCAGTTGAAAAAAGTTATTTACGCCATACGTTTCCACAATTGAAAAAAAAATATAAAGTTTGCGTAGTAGGCGGCCTCAGCCGCACTTCTCCTCCGTCTCGCCGAAAGAGAAGAGGAGATCGCACTCATCCAGGAGCCTTGGGTCATAAAAGATCGGGTTTGTGGATTGAATATGAAGGGATACAAGCTGTTCTATGTAACTGACAAAGGTAAACCCAGGTCGTGCATATTGATAAAAAAGTGTATTAATGCATTTCTCTTGATACAGTTTAGCGATGCGGACAACGTCATCATAGCAGTGGAATCAGGCGGAATGTCTATTTGGCTGGCTTCCACATATATGGCCCACGACGCAGAAACATTACCTCCACCACAATCCTTAAGGAGCGCGGTAATGGAGGCCTCTAGACGCGGCACTCCGATGGTCATAGGAGCGGACGCGAATGCCCATCATCACATATGGGGCAGCTCAGATACAAATGAACGCGGTGAGTCGATATTCGAATTCATTATGTGAAACAATCAGAGGTATGGAAGATATACTTTATATGACACCAATCTAAGTGATTTTCACTGCTATGTGATCGGTATGTAAACCGGTAACACAATAGGGGTATTCTCCAAATCTTGCAAAGCCATTGCACGTAGCACGGATTGCATGGATTGCATAACTTGCAAACACACAACAACAAAATACATGGGAAACGACATTTCCTATCGCTGCAAAATATGCAACGTCGAAACCCATGTATATATTTTGCAAAATAGCATAGCAAGATATATGCGACCCTGTGCTAGTTGTTTTGTTGTTGGAATTGCTACATATTTCTCTCA